GGTTCCTGGTCAATCAGGAGCAGTCATCACAGTGGCTGTGTGCTTGACTTTTAGGGGTTTACTAAGCACACTATGGTAGATGGTTAGTTTTGAGGATGCATAAGCTGAGGCTGCTTTCATTGACGATCAAAGATGAACACATGGTTAAAAACCAGATCCGATGGATACAGTATGGCTAAATATTGGAGGGACTAACAGATTACATTTGAGAAGGTGGAGGAGAATAAGGAGGCTAGCGAAGGGGCGTGAAAAAGTTGACAATGAATTAGAAGATGATTCTGGTAGCAGTGCGTTGAAGTAATATAAGGGAGGCATGGTGGTTGGTAGCAGTGCAAGGAAAGACAGAACAAGTGTTGGGTTGAAGTGGTGAGAGCCTTACTAAGATGCAGATGGCCTGGGAGGCTAAAGGAGCTTGAATATCTGAAAAGTTATGGAAGAAAGAGCAGTAAGAGGCTTCATAGGAGGCAGGCAGTTGGAGGATCTTTTCACATGCTGTATTTTAGCTCGTTCTACTGGGATCTCAGGGTGAGGCACTTCTCATGCAAGTCTCTTCTGCAGTTACCTAATTGTTAATGGTTAGCTATACTTGGAGGTTTTGTTGTTGGGTTAGGAGAGAAAATTTGATCATAATGACTAATAATTTTTTTGAGCCATTGTCTTATTTTTACATGTACTGTGATATAGGTCTATATGTGTAGAAGGAAAGCTCAGTATTTAAGATAAGAAGGAAGGAAGATCCTGGACAGTAGCTGGTGTATGGTCTTCAGACTTCTGAAAGGGGAGACTGCTGTGCTCTAATTTATTAGAGTTCCCTTTTAATTTTCTTGGGCTTTGAACCTAGAATGTTTCCTTACATGAGAAATACTCCTACTTATATATTTATAAACTGTCAGTAAATTTTTGATAAGGTGATTAGTACAATCTGTTTCTTGCAGCACATGAAATTCGATAGAAAAAGTGACTAACAGTTATGTTAGATATTTTGGGCTTGATAAAATGAATTGTTTTTGCAAATATGATTGATGCCTTTCAAATATTTGTAGTGTGTTGAACTTTAGATATTATTAGCAAAAGGGAAGAATGGTTAAGATTATGTAATGAAATGTTCATTTCTGCTTTAATACTGAAATGAATAATACAGGAGGTTTTGCAAAAATAAGATGAAAAAACACATTGGAACTCTTCACAGAAGAAAATCACTATTATGAATATAAGGCCACTGCTATTCCCTTAAGGTTTTTCTGTTAATGTGTTTACTTAGCAGTGCTTGATAAATCTATACCTTTACTCACACATTATGCTAAAAATGTGGGTATTCAGAGAATGTGATCTGACTTGGAATTTTTTTTTTTCCCTCCACATTATGGTTTTGCACAATATGGTTTAAATGGTGTTTTCAGAGTTCTTCTCGCATTGGTTATGCTCATTGTATGTCAGGGCACTAGGTAAAATGCTAGCCCTTCAGGGAAGATAAATACTGGATAAAAATTAGTGTGTAGGGAGACCTGTTAAAAATCAGGATTTCAGAAAAAAAGACTATGGTTGAGAAAACACACGTGACATGTTAGTCAGCAAGAGTAAGTCCACTGATGCTGGCCTA